TAAATACCAAAGTACAAAGATTATTTTTTGATGGTAAAGCAAGGTGATTTGTAAAACAGATCATAACCTGACAGCAAGGGACAAAGATCACATGTTAGGGGATAAATCAAGTACTGACCACTGACGTTCAATACGTCAGCCTGATGACACTGTACTGGTCATCTATTGTCCAATGTATGTAAATTCTCAGGGTCATTCATCATTTCAATGTCAAACACTGTCTAAACAGGGATCCTGTGAGCACTCTCTGTTTCTCTACACATTAAGGCACATTCAATAATGGGTGAGAAAAATTGTCAGCTGGTTAATTTGGGGTTTTTATCAAATACCCAAGATGTAATTTTCTGTCCAGGGTGCTAAGTCTTTGCAAAATCTAAAAGCAGGCATGTGCAGCGAGTCACCAACACCATTCTGAAAAGCATTTATAACACTATAACATTATATCAGGGTTGAATCAGAAACTACAGCCTTGTAAAGTGCACATGAGATAATTTGAATACATCGGTTAGGAAAGAAGATTCAATCTTAGTCTTTAATATTTTATGAAAGTGCTATTTGAAATACACTAATAAATGGTACGATGAAGTTTTGTTGCCAGGGAACTACAGAATAGGTGTTTATATCAGTATTCAAGAGCAAGGAGAAGATATCATCAGCAGGTGTCTCTGTGTTACCTGTCAAGTCAACCAGAGATAATTAAAAAGAAATCATTATTCAATATTTATTTCATTTTTTTAAAATTGCTTCATCACTTGCATGCAGAAAAGTTTCTTATATTTTGTTTTTACATCGTAATTTTATTTCAATTTGTTACCTCTCATCTCCTCAGGTAAACTTGTCACCACTCACCTCTACAGGTAAACTTGTCACCACTCACCTCCATAGGTAAACTTGTCCCTACCCGTGTTCTCAGGTAAACTTGTCACCACTCACCTCCATAGGTAAACTTGTCACTACCCATGTTCTCAGGTAAACTTGTCACCACTCACCTCCATAGGTAAACTTGTCACTACCCATGTTCTCAGGTAAACTTGTCACTACTCACCTCCATAGGTAAACTTGTCACTTCTCACCTCCATAGGTAAACTTGTCACTACCCATGTTCCCAGGTAAACATAACGCCTCATCTCCTCAGGTTAACTTGTCACCACCAATCTCGTCAGGTAAACTTGTCACCACCACCCATCTCATCAGGTAAACTTGTCACCACCACCCATCTCATCAGGTGAACTTATATTATAGATCAAAAGGTAAAATACCCTACAGACAGGTGACAACAATATTACAGTTATAACACCTTACAGACAGGTGACAACAATATCACAGTTATAACACCTTACAGACAGGTGACAACAATATTACAGGTATAACACCTTACAGACAGATGACAACAATATTACAGGTATAACACCTTACAGACAGGTGACAACAATATTACAGGTATAATACCTTACAGACAGATGACAACAATATTACAGGTATAACACCTTACAGACAGATGACAACAATATTACAGGTATAATACCTTACAGACAGATGACAACAATATTACAGTTATAACACCTTACAGACAGGTGACAACAATATTACAGTTATAACACCTTACAGACAGATGACAACAATATTACAGGTATAACACCTTACAGACAGGTGACAACAATATTACATGTAAAGCATCTAAGACAGGTGACAACATCATTACAGGTATACTATGTTACAGACAGATGACAACAATATTACAGGTATAACACCTTACAGACAGATGACAACAATATTACAGTTATAACACCTTACAGACAGGTGACAACAATATTACATGTAAAGTATCTAAGACTGGTGACAACATCATTACAGGTATACTATGTTACAGACAGATGACAACAATATTACAGGTATAACACCTTACAGACAGATGCCAACAATATTACAGGTATAACACCTTACAGACAGATGACAACAATATTACAGTTATAACACCTTACAGACAGGTGACAACAATATTACATGTAAAGTATCTAAGACTGGTGACCATCATATTCTTTGTTTCCAATTGTTAATTTTTTCACTTTTCGCTAATTGTATTTTCATCAGAGCATTATTTCTCTGTTGTTTTCTCTCTCTGGTTATAAGTTTAATTTTATTTCTCTTTAACATCCTTTGTTTACTAGAGGTTTTTCTTTCTGTCTGAAAAATTTCTCAACCATCATCAAAACAGAGAATATAAGGCTGGATTCTATTTGAATGAAAAAAATCTTTTGATGTGAAGTTGTTTCAAAGTTAGAAAAATATAGTAAAAATTTACTAATTATAAAATCTACACTAACATATGGTTTGTACATTACATTATGTGCTGGATGAGTATTCAAACACATGCATTGATAGTTAAAACTAATCCATGTCCTTGAAAATATCTGAAATATTCATTTCCCATTTATTCCAGACCATTTGGTCCCATACTTGATTGTATGTTTGTTTTGCCCGGAGATGTAAACGGTAAAAGCACATCTCTGCAGCCTAGAAATACTGTAATTATTGGTGGGCTCTGTCAGTGCCAAGATTTTGGTAACAAAGTAAGAAAAAGCGGTTGAAATCAGTGAAACTAAGAAATGGAAAACAAAGTCAATTTAGGAGATTAATTACAAGTTTGGGATCTCATATTGTTACACATACACACACATGCTGCCATCCCATCAACACATACCCAGGCTACACTCACTAGATTCTTACAGATTTTTTTATTTGGCAGTTGTGTTTTTCTCATCAACACTTCTATAAATTGTTATATGCAATTGTGAAAATAAGTTGATTCCTAAAGGATGTAAGAGGTCTTTTGAAATAGCTTGTCTTGATGAGTATTTTGATTCCCTAGCATATGCAGTAGATAAACTTGCATGGCCTATGAAGAAATTATCTGCTCAATATGAAGATATTGGAAGAATTTTGATTTCTTCTAACTTTGCTTTTGCCTGTTCCTTTTGATGTTGAAGAGTAGAGGGTGTAATTCTCTTTCTTTATTGCCGAGCATCAAGAGTGAGTTTACACAATATTAGCAATCATTTTCTTGGTGTTTATTAGTATACATTAAGGAGCTGTCATAAGGGCACCATGACACTGTCGCCATGACTGCAAACTTCACCAGTAAAGTGACGATGTCAGGGTTAGTCGTAACAAACGATGTGGTGTATTACAGGCACAGCATGCTCTAAGGCACACTCAAAAAAATGCACTGAAGTCGCACATTGCTATTGCATAACATCTGCGTACCATGTGGTGAGAGGCAGCGATCGCTATTTAACACTCTGATTCTTGAGTTTTCATAGAGTATCGACCCTTTAACAGTTAAAAGACAGCAGAGCAATATTCTTGGTCATGATTGAAGTTTACAAGTTATATAAGGAGCATGCTCAGATTTCTTCTTACTTACACTGAATAAAAAAAACCCAGTAATTATATGGAGTAGCTGAGTTGGTTCCAAAATGAAATAGAATGTAGACATGAGACTCTCTGACATCAAATGCTGTCTTCAACACTCTTTATCGCTGCCGACAATTAGTGAAATCAGGTCTGATTAGTTCCGACGTTTGGAAGACAAGACACGCAGGTATCCTTGAGAAGTTTTATTAAGGAAAGTGATTAAATATACTTAATGGAAACAAGAGTATATTTTTTTTTACAGTTTATAAAATATACACCTGATCTTGACAATTATAAAATACATATACATTTGGCCTTGAAAATAATGTTTAGTTCATGCAAAACCCAATAACAAAATATTGTAAGGTCTGGCAATAATTGAGAGGTCTAGGGCTATCATGAAATAAAAGAATATAATTGTTCATGTGAAATAATTAGACAAAGTTATAAAGCTATATTATTCATCATACACAGCTTACCAATACAGGAATTATTCTGATTCAAATGTTGAAGATAAATTTGTTAAAATTAATGAAGATATGAATCAAGATGTGAGAAAAATGTTAAAGTCAGAATTAAAATGAAAATAGTGAATGCCATGTATATGTTCAAGTATCTGTAATAGAGCTGAAATCCTAAAAAACAAACATCCAAAAAACTAGCCTTAAATGAGAACTATCTCTAAATACAGTGACAAAGTAAAACTCACACAGCACCTTGTTGAGTGTTGTTAAGGACCACATGATATAGCTGAGGACATAATGACCATCCCTCAGGGATCTCCCAGCCCACATCTTCTGTTCAATCTTTAGATCAGGAAATTTGAACTAACTTGACACTCACTTTTTGTAAAAATTATATCATACTCTGTAAAAATGGAAATTGACAGCAAATGATACGTTAAAAGTCTATATAACTGAGTTAAGTGTAAATCTATATAAAAATTCTACATGTAACCAGACAGCTTGATGTGATGTCTTCTATACATTAGCAGGTTCAAGCATGGATACGACACTGATTAGAAATAATTTTGACAAAACAATGTCCAGTATCTACCAGATTATAAGTTTTAGTGGGACTGTAGACAAGAAATATACCAATTGACCATTTGATAAAACATTCATAAGTAGTGTTACAAATGTGTCGTTTATCACTGTAGCGCATGGACCAATCTAGTTGCTGAATGTGTTTTATAAGTTGTTTTTTTCGCTGTATAAATCATAGAATCAATTTGGACATGTCACATCCAATCAGGGGCGGTCCCTTCTCCCCAAGTCAAGCTCAACACATGTACTACCGTTTAGCTTGGTCTCCAGACTTTTTTTTAAAAGTGAATGAATTGTTTTTGACACAGCAGAGCTGTAAGACTTGGATTAATTGCTGAATCTGAGTCTCAGACATGCTTCAGAGGGATATTAAGTGTGGTATCTGGGGTGTCAGACTGCCAGCCACAATTATATAACACTTGCCTCCTGTAAATTAAATGGTTACAGTCCAAACTCGTCTGGTCAACTCATTGTAATTATTTTCACACAGAAAATTTAAGATTGATAGCTATGAATTTTCAAATTCAATTTATTTTTCAGTCTTCGAAGAGGAGTAGCTCGGAAAATGACCCGGACAGTGACCTCGACCTGGAGAAAGAGCTGAAACCGATTGGTGACTATATCAAAGATAGACGAAAGATGTTAGAACAAATGTTCCACTGTCTGAAGGGAGGCAGTCTACAACGAAATCTCCCCGATGTCCTCAAGGTGAAAAAAAATCTCCCTCCTCCCCATCCTTAAACCCCTCTACCCTCAAAAATACTCACACACAAATAAAAAAAGAAAAACCGTTTTAAAAAAGCATCTTTACGGATACTGAACTGTACTTTGGTATGTTGTAAAATAAAGATATGTAGATCATCTTCTGGTTTGGTCCTGGTCAATTTAATTTTTCCAGAATCAAGACTTTTTAATATAAATATTGTAAGTTTCAATTTTTTTACAGATTCTGCAGGCAGGACATAAATTTCATTTCTTTAATCACAAGTTCACCTTTTGACAAAGCCATTAACACTAAAAAATCCCTAACTTCTTGTTTGCCCTCAGGGGTATTGATGTCACTTCAACACATCTAGTTTCTCCCTTGATTTTACTCAAGCAGGATTTTCCATGGAATTATCCCTGTTAGTTACTCTTCCTGACCAATCCTCTTTGCATCTTGACTGTGGTCCTATGGCTTGTAGTTAAAACAGTTTGTCATACAAAGCAAACGTTTACAATTGTTGTTAGTGTTTGAGGTATCCATAGTTGTAACTTTATGTTATATATACTATGTTTATTGGCATTGATACAGAATTACTGATGTAAGTATCTGATAAATTATATGTAATTTGAGTTTTATTAAATCTAAATTGTTGGATTTTATTTTAAATAAATATTTTTGCAACCTACAGATATTCCACATAATGGATCTAAATGTGTTAAAATTTAACCCCACACTGAGTATCTTGGGAACATCTATTAGTTTTGTCCCATTTTCTCTTTCTGGTAATGGCTGTCAAAGTCATGTCCTAATAGACTATTTAAAATAAAGTTTCAAAATAAAGTAAATTTCAATAGAGGTTGTTAAAACCTAAGGGAATATCAATCTTGGTGATTTACATATAGGTTCTATTTAAAATCTTGTTATATTTACGTGCATGCTTAGAGCCAAGCCATAACTTCTAGATCTGATTCCCATTGATGGGGTCCTGGCTGCCTAGGTCCTGTCCCCAAGGGCTGAGATCTCTAACTTATCCCTGTCTGATCCCCCTTGTCTGGGGGCAGTCTGTCCCTCCCCTAACCACAAACTTGCCTGACCCAGGCACATATATTATCATCTAATGTGTCATTAGATATAGGATCAGGGTATTACAATGTTCAAATGTTGATATAATGATTCAGCTGATTAATTATTAAGAAATAGCAAATTAAAATCTTATTGTTAAAGATGGAGAAGGTGAGGTCATCAGGTACAGGGATAGGCCCCAGTGTGTCAGTATCCCATACAGGTTGAAATTATTGCTTTTTGTGGACTTTTAACTGTGCATTTTAGTCATTAAAAATTCATTGGCTATGTATGTGCAATTGATTTTCCTGGATTTAATCATTCTTTTAAAGATAAAGGTTTTATGAGGTCTATTGCCCTTCCTGAACCCAAACTCCATCAGGTGAAAAGAAAGCATAATACACTGGGCCGGCATGTTGAAATTAAATTAGTGTTATTTCTTGTGAACTTGTGTCCATTACGTGTTGTGTACAGCATCGTACCTACTGGACTGTCGGGCTGACTCGCCCACCCTTGTGTTGTTGGGACAATTACATCATCTTGGGAAGACGGATGGCCCTGAATTATTGATATGTGGTTAATAAAATCAAACATGATCTCTGTCTGTATCCATTCCTGGCCATATTTGTACATACAAAAATATTGTAAATATTGATAGAGGCGACACTTTCACTGTTGAGTCTGTTGCTTTCTCATTGTCCTGTATATAGGTTACAGAATACATATTAAATCTATTCTAAGAAGCCTCTCACAGTCGCACATTTCTTCTTTCTATGGGTACGTTTTGTTGCTATGCTAATATCACTTTTTTGTCAACAGTTTTAAAAAATATCAGGAACAGTAACTCTGAAACAGGTTGAATAATTCAAGGGAAGCAACCTAAACATTCTCTCCCCGGATCATCCTCACACATCCATCTGATTAAAATTAGACGTTACACGACCTAAATGGTCTAATTAGGATTTTTTCCCCATTATTGATGTTAGTCTTTTTTTTCTACAGCAATATCTTACTTACGGTAATATCAAATAACAACGTGGAATTTATGCGGGACTTTTCTAGTATTTCAAGGCTCACAAAAATACATTTCAAGGCCTCCATTTGACGAGATAACAACTTATTAAAGTTTCACTTTCTGTCAAATTTATTAGATGTTTACAATAATGAATACTTCAGAACACTGATTGACATTGTTTTTTTTAAATCTAAGAAGAAAATCTATAGTTTATAAAGCCTTAAACTCATTGTAGATAGGAAACTGGCATTACCTACATATAGCTGCTGCCTGTAACTTGCACAGCCATGCATGCCTAGCTGTATGAGTTATTAGGTGCCACTGCAGGGAAGTAAATACATATACAGATTACTGTAGCTTGATGATCAAGAAGTCTTGCAACAGAAGTTAGAAGAAGACAACAGGCGGTGGGTTAGGTCAGTTGTGGAATTATTTCCCATTTAAATTCAACCATAAACCTTCTGATTCTGTTCCTAAAGAAGAAGTTTCATGTCTCCAAGACATTTGTGTGCATATTTAAAAATCCATTAGTGCACATTCATAGATAAAGATATGACAGCTGTTTTAGAAAAAAAACTAATATGAAATAAAATAAAAGTATGTCTAGTCAACTGTGTGAGTCTCATGGTAAAGCAAGTCTGGAGAGTGCATGTTGCTGAGCACTTTAAATCTCCACAAACACATAGTATCAGAATCCCTCAGAACTGCCATCTAGTACTCTGCATCAAAGTTTTACCCCACCATAATCATTATAACAACTGAAATTTATTTGTTGGTGTAGAGTGGGAGGGGAGTAGGGTGTGAGTGGGAAGGGAATGGGGAGGGAGTGGGACAGAAGTGGGATTTTAGTGGAAAGGGAGTGGATGTGAGTTGTATGGGGGTGGGAAGGGATTGAAATGGGAGTGGGGAGTAAGAGGGAAGGGAGTAGGGTGTGAGTGGGACAGGAGTGGGGTGTGAGTGGGACAGGAGTGGGGTGTGAGTGGGACAGGAGTAAGGTGTGAGTGGGACAGGAGTAAGGTGTGAGTGGGACAGGAGTAAGGTGTGAGTGGGACAGGAGTGGGGTGTGAGTGGGACAGGAGTAAGGTGTGAGTGGGACAGGAGTAAGGTGTGAGTGGGACATGAGTGGGGTGTGAGTGGGACAGGAGTAAGGTGTGAGTGGGACAGAAGTGGGGTGTGAGTGGGAGAGGAGTAAGGTGTGAGTGGGAACAGGAGTAAGGTGTGAGTGGGACAGGAGTAAGGTGTGAGTGGGAAAGGAGTGGGATGTGAGTGGGACAGATGTATGGTGTGAGTGGGACAGGAGTAAGGTGTGAGTGGGGTGTGAGTGGGACAGGAGTGGGGTGTGCGTGGGACAGGAGTAGGGTGTGCGTGGGACAGGAGTGGGGTGTGAGTGGGACAGGAGTAGGGTGTGAGTGGGACAGGAGTAGGGTGTGCGTGGGACAGGAGTGGGGTGTGAGTGGGACAGGAGTGGGATGTGAGTGGGGTGTGAGTGGGGTGTGAATGGGACAAGAGATGAGTGTGAGTGGGAAAGGAGTGGGGTGTGAGTGGGACAGGAGTGGGGTGTGAGTGGGACAGGAGTAAGGTGTGAGTGGGACAGGAGTAAGGTGTGAGTGGGACAGGAGTAAGGTGTGAGTGGGACAGAAGTTGGGTGTGAGTGGGACAGGAGTAAGGTGTGTGAGTGGGACAGGAGTAAGGTGTGAGTGGGACAGAAGTGGGGTGTGAGTGGGACAGGAGTAAGGTGTGAGTGGGACAGGAGTAAGGTGTGAGTGGGACAGGAGTGGGGTGTGAGTGGGACAGGAGTAAGGTGTGAGTGGGACAGGAGTAAGGTGTGAGTGGGACATGAGTGGGGTGTGAGTGGGACAGGAGTAAGGTGTGAGTGGGACAGAAGTGGGGTGTGAGTGGGAGAGGAGTAAGGTGTGAGTGGGAACAGGAGTAAGGTGTGAGTGGGACAGGAGTAAGGTGTGAGTGGGACATGAGTGGGGTGTGAGTGGGAAAGGAGTGGGATGTGAGTGGGACAGATGTATGGTGTGAGTGGGACAGGAGTAAGGTGTGAATGGGACATGAGTGGGGTGTGAGTGGGACAGGAGTAGGGTGTGAGTGGGACAGGAGTAGGGTGTGCGTGGGACAGGAGTAGGGTGTGCGTGGGACAGGAGTGGGGTGTGAGTGGGACAGGAGTAGGGTGTGAGTGGGACAGGAGTAGGGTGTGCGTGGGACAGGAGTGGGGTGTGAGTGGGACAGGAGTGGGATGTGAGTGGGGTGTGAGTGGGGTGTGAATGGGACAAGAGATGAGTGTGAGTGGGAAAGGAGTGGGGTGTGAGTGGGACAGGAGTAGGGTGTGGGGTGTGAGTGGGAAAGGAGTGGGGTGTGAGTGGGAAGGGAGTAGGGTGTGAGTGGGAAGGGAATGGGGAGGGAGTGGGACAGAAGTGGGATTTTAGTGGAAAGGGAGTGGATGTGAGTTGTATGGGGGTGGGAAGGGATTGAAATGGGAGTGGGGAGTAAGTGGGAAGGGAGTAGGGTGTGATTGGGACAGGAGTGGTGTGTGAGTGGTACAGGAGTAAGGTGTGAGTGGGACAGGAGTGGGGTGTGAGTGGGACAGGAGTAAGGTGTGAGTGGGACAGGAGTAAAGTGTGAGTGGGACAGGAGTGGGGTGTGAGTGGGAAAGGAGTGGGGTGTGAGTGGGACAGATGTATGGTGTGAGTGGGACAGGAGTAAGGTGTGAATGGGACATGAGTGGGGTGTGAGTGGGACAGGAGTAGGGTGTGAATGGGACATGAGTGGGGTGTGAGTGGGACAGGAGTAGGGTGTGAGTGGGACAGGAGTGGGGTGTGAGTGGGACAGGAGTGGGGTGTGAGGAGGACAGGAGTTGGATGTGAGTGGGGCGTGAGTGGGGTGTGAGTGGGGTGTGAATGGGACAAGAGATGAGTGTGA